GTGGCATAGCTTATTTGCTGTCATCAGAGGTTTGGCATCTCAGGTGTGATCCTGGGAAGAAAGGTCCCAATCCAGATGTGGACATCTGAGTTTACTGGAGCACATCCCATGTTCAGTTGTGAAATGAGTGAAACCCATTAGTCAACATTATGTTCTTGAAGTATACTACCAATTTTATAAAACTCCTTAACTGCTTGGCATTCCAAGTGGCTGTTTTTAAAAAATCAATTATTACTGCAAAGTTTTTTTTTAAAAGTTTTTAAAAACATAGCATTCCCAGTTATTCGAAGTGCTTGTTCTTATTTGCTTCATGAACTTTGTATGTGATTTCAACTTTGACTATTTCTTTGCTTATTTTTTAGAAGGCATTTCACGATGCCATGCGAGAGACACTAGAAAGGGATAGCTGACAAGGAAAAAATTAAAAATTGGATAAAAAGTAAATGAATAATGTCATATTACTAAAAAGATGAGAGGCTAATTTGTGCCGACTTTTTGCTAATTTTGTTCAAGCCTCAAAATGAGGAGCTGTCACCCGTTCTGTGTAGCACTGATGACAGTGCCAATGATCCATGAAATAAGCTGCTGCTGGCTTTGTTCTGATAAGAATGAACAAATCTGCACAATGTTCGGCTCCCAGAATCTCATTTTCATACTTGCATGCAGGCTAAAAGAAATAAGCTGTTTGCAGGCTTGATTAATCAGACATTGGAGGGTTTTTTGTCTCTTTGATCTCTTTCGTCTCCTAGGTAACTTGCTTGACATTAATGTTGAGCTTGAGTAAAGACAATCAGGAATTGTCGACCAAACTGATATAAAAATTAAAGACCTTAACACTTTAAGTACTCCAGTAATGGTTCCGCTTTACTTCAGAAAACATCTGTTTTCATTTAATTAAAGAACAAAAGAGAATGGCATAAATATTTTTCATAGAGACCTATTATTCCATAAAAAGTTAAAGTATGATAATTGGTATTTTTAAATAAGTGCCTTGAAAGTGTTCAAAAGGGAGGAAAACTTCATAAATCTGTTACAAGCTAGTAATTTTGAGATGAGTAAAATATTTTATGAAATGGATAAGAAGTTTATAGTTGTGCTAGATTAAGCTGTTTGAATCAGATGCTTCAAATGATTATCAGCAAACTTTATAATGACAATATTTTCTGTACAAAACTAACTTTATTTTGAAGTTTGTCTTTAAAATATCTGTACCGTGCTATAAGGATGTGCCATTATATCTATTTTACAACCCAATATGATTTACACATGCTAAACCTGTAAAATTGAAAGGAATTAAAAAAATGTCGCCGTGCATTTGCTTGAGGTTATGCAGACGCTTTTACAAATCTTCCAAGTGGCTGTAAAGATGAATGCCTCAAGGGTCCAGCCAGGGCCCTGCTTTTCCAACCAGCTAAAGCCCTTATCTTAAATCCAAGCAAAGTACCATTAATCTTTTTGAAAGACCTTTTATGGCTTTTAATATATCCCAAATTAGAACATTTTACACCCTTGGTTCCTGAAATATGGTGATAAAAAGCCTTTAGAGCTTAATTTTCCTTACCGCATGCTCTGACCAATTTGCAGTTCTTTGTGATAATGTTTAGACACCTTAATTAAAATGCAGCAAAATATTGGATGTTCTATATGGAAAATGCTGATACTTTGGCTACACATACAAGAAACTCTGTATATTTTTTTATTCATTTAAAAAAAATGTCTTTCCACATTGTGTTGCTGTAGTTATCTGATGACCTGAAACAGTTTTTTAATATAAAAACCATTGACCAAGCTTTTGTGATGTTTACATTGGGCAGGAAGATGCATTTTCTTTTTATAGAAGCAAAAGGGGGATTCTTGTCGGCCTGTTTTATTTGTTTGTAATACTGAAACAGCGCAGTATTCCTTTATATTCTGGAACTCGAGGTAGTCATCTTGCTGGGAAAACTACGTTTTTCCCTCAACCGTCTTTTCCATTGAAGGCCTTATTATCCTTTTACGTTTCCAGATAGTTCTTGTTCTTTTTTCTTTCCTCACAGAAATAAGTGAAACACTTAATTTTTAAGCACATGAGGGACTATGACTTTTCACCATCATTACAAGCTAAAACAGTTTTCTATTTAATGTTTATCAGTTGAAGAACATTCCATTTAACGTAACCTATGGTAATAAGGTACAGTTAGAGAGTATACTTTTTACAGGAACAAGTCAGTTTGTCTGAAAGTGTTTCTATGCACCTGATAACTGCTTGTATTTATTTAGTTCACAAAATGATGGACCCATCTCGTGTGAACGCTTTCTAATGCATTCTAATGAGTCATTTTTAACAAGTTTATACTGTGTGTTAAGATTGTATGCACTGAGCCTATACTGTGTTGGGTTTGGCTGTGGCCTTGCTGGGACATGGGGGGGTTTCCATTCTCAGAGTGGGTGAGTGTGTTGAGGTGGAGAGCCCACAGGAGTCAAGTGGCTGCGTGTCCACATACTGAGATCCACCTTGGTTCATCTTTTTGAATTCAGGAAACCCATACTGGGAAATTGCAATAAGTTTAAAATATAAAGCTTAATTTAAAACAGTTTTAGAAAATGATTTTCTTAAATGGCTAGTGGCGTATAGCAGAGATGGTTTGAATTGTTTTTATTTCTTACCCAAAGTCTAGGCTTAATTTAAATATAAGATAAACTAGCTGAGTGAGTCCCTTTGAGCGTATGGAAAAACTGTATTATATATATCACATTTGCATTTGATATATAAATACATACGAATGGAGTTATGGAAAAATACAGATTATTTTCCCCCTCCATGCTGGGAATAGAGCTCAGGGTCTTCACATGGTAGGACCATGCTCTACCACTGAACCACACTCCAGCCCCCAAGTATAGATTTTTATGTTTTACCTTTGTGGGTTCTGTGTGAATGTGGGTAGCCTCTTGTGCATCATAAACTTAAGGTTGAAAGCTGTATTTTTTGGCAGAAGATGGCTTTTTAGGTGTGCGGACTGCTCCCCTAGTGTCCTATTGTGCCTTTATATTTCTGTGTGAGCAGAAATGATGTATGTCACTTTGGGATGAAAGTATTTAAGAGCCAGTATGAGACCCTCTACCTCTTCTTGTGCCATGTTGACTGTGAAGGCCAGGTGTGGAGGGACTGGCAGCACAAGATGGAAAGGCCTGCCTGTGCACAAGGACTTCAAGCAAAACAAGTAAAAGCTTGGCCAGTGAGATTGAGGATTTGTTTGGTACTGCAGTGGTGACCAGCCTAACCCAGTGGGTGCTAACTTGAGGTTTTACTGGTGTCACAAGTAGAAGGTTTTTCAGTGGGTAGGAATTCCATCTTAATGAAAAATGACACACAGCATCCTTCCAAATTTTCGACAATGATGCTACAACCCTTTGATTCTAAGCCTTCTTTTGGTTGACTTAGGTGAATTTTTCTATAATAAAGAGCTGGGAGTAAAAGAAGAACCAGCAGAACAAAGCCTTCATTGAGGCCGCTTGCTCTCCTCGCCCACAGCTTGAAAGCAAGCCTTGTTGGTTCAGTGCTGTGTCTCCAGCACCTAGAACATGCCTGGCAAAATTGTGCATTTGTGCTGTCAAAAAGCGTGTTCTTGTAGAAAAGATGACAACAGCAGTGTTAACATTGGTTTGAGTTTTGAGTGTATACTAAGTTTGGTCTGCTTTCTCAAGTGAGCTCTCAAGTCATGATTAGTCATTCCTTCTTCAGTGGCTGTTCTGTTGGTGTTGACCGGTTCAGCACCTTGGCTTGATTGTCAGCTTCCTTCCATTTGCTTATGTTTTATGTACATATTTTTAACTGAAACTCTTTTTTCTCCCATTTATAAGCGCCAGCCAGTGCTTGATTACCACTTGTCTGTTTTGCCCTAAAGGAAACTGTTCTCCAAGATAAGCTGAAAGACATGTCAAGCATGCCAGACCTTGCTTTCCTAACTTGGCTTCTTTCCTTACACATGTGCTCTTAACCTCCTACAATGCCTTCCTGTTGGCAAGAAGATCCCTAAAGTTTTAGGCTTTGATGTGTTGTCTTTAGGGTGGCTTCCGGGTCCTTTCTTCTCATCCACTAGTCTGCATGTCTACCAATAAGCATTAGGTTGAGTGAAGGAATACAAAAAAACAAACACTGGAAAGGTTTAGCCTCCATTGTTAATCTGGGCTCTCAACAGATCTGATTGAGCCCTCCGTGTATGCTGGGCATTTTAAAATCAGCATCCCTGACCTGGAGATACTTTGTGGGGAAAAGCTCTGAAACCAGAAAAGGGATGGAAAAATGCAGAAGCAAGAATGGTGATAGAATGAATTAGAGAAGACTTTGGGGGGTGGGAGGTTAATTTTGAATGACTCTTGTGGGACTGGCAGTTGGACATTAGGGAGGTACGCAGAGGGCCCTGCCCAGGGAATACCTGGGTCCTGGGGTCCAGCCTTTTCACTTCCTAGTACCCCTTATATTCTTTTCTCTCTCAGATACTTAAAAGCTGTTGCCCATCATGCAGAGTGCATTTATGAAGTAGTAATTAGCTTTCCCATGTTTTATTAATCCCATCTGTGACTGCCAATCAACGCTTCTGATCAGCATGAGATAACTGGTGTGACCGTACTGAGTTGCTGTAATTCTAGCCCAGAGCAAAGAAAGTTGATGTCTCTGTCAGTCTGTGCAGCCTTATCAGGACAAATTCCTGTTCCGCTGACTAAAATGCTAGGGTAGCTTGAAGAGCCTCATTACTACCTTTGTGGACCCTCAAGGGGCCTCTGTTTGGGAAGGATTTCCATCCAGGAGACGGCGCAGCTAGGGTTGAGTGTTGGGAGGGAAGGGAGATATGGGCCATATCTATGTATTCATTCTTGTGTATTTAAGGGGCCTGAGCATAGGATTTCTCAGTTCTAAAATGTAGCTTTCTTACCCACACATTTTCAGTTATTGGTATTATAATTCTTGTATTAGCTAGAATATTTATTTTCACATTTTTTTCCTTCTTTGTGATTCTTAGCTTGGTGTAAAAATTGCCAAAGCAATTGCCTGTCACAAGTTTGTAAAAGCCAAAAAGGAGGCTGAAAACTCTCAGGCTGCTCGAAAAAAGAAGAAACTTGCGTGGGGGTGAGTTCACTTCAGATTTTTCGTAGTTATTCTACTGATCTCATAGGAATTGTAGAAAGCCTGCTAATACATTTTGTGAATCCAATTTGTACAGAACTGTTCCTTACTTTATTGTTTGTATCTTTGCTGAATGTTTATCAGATTATAAATATGGAGGCATTTTTTTACCCTGTTTGATGTTTGTTTTGTAAGCAATGGAGTATGTGTCGTTTTTACATTTGTTTTGACTTTGATCACTTAGTAAACATGTTACTTTAACAAATTATTCTATTTTAGAAATAAATTGAAATTTTTATGTTCTTCATTTTAGATTTGAAGCAAAGAAGAGATGGGAAACCAAAAGCAACATGGGATATATGTAATTTGTCAGAGTTCTTCAAGACACTTGCAGAAATTTACTGAAAAGATTTTCCTACTTAGGTTAAATATATCAGGAAATTGATAGAAGTAGAAAAAATAAGCATAAAACTATGGAGTTGATTATCAACTCTTTTCAGCCTTTTCATAAGGAGTTCTTTCTATTGAAGTGGATGAAATGAAGCATTTTATTATTTATGTAAGGAAACTAAGCATACATACAAGAAAAGAAATGGGATTTTATTTATTTATTTGTATAGACCTACAGTATAAAATCAATTTTGCTTTTCATGTGTTTGGTATAGCATAGCCTGTGAGGTCCTTGTACTTTACTTGCTTATCTGTTCTTGGCATAACTACACTTTTTTCTAGAATTGTGTTTTTAAGATTGGCTTTTGTTTATAATGGATTAGTTATAAGTGCAAGTAAGTCTCAATTGATGCTGTCTTTACAAATGACTTTAATTACCCTGATGTCATCAAAACAACTTTTTTATTTATTGGAGGCACTAGAGTTGATATTTCAAAGTCACATATTAAAAGCAATTGATATATTTTGCATACCTTCTGATTATTTTTGCATACCTTCAATTGGAAGGTATGCAAATACTTTAGAATGTAGTATTTGGAGGATGGTTTAAATTCAGCACGGCCTAGAAATGTTTTCCTAAATATCTCGTGACCTTGTCATTCTTTAAATTGTGAGATGATTCTTGGAATAGAAAGTGGTAAAATTATATTAAGCAGACAATTATAACTCAAGATAACATAACTTTGAATTGTCTAAGAACTGGTTTGTTTTTATTCTCTTCCCCATTTCTCCTTAACAGATAGAATGAATGAATGAATGTATGAATGAGGCTGAAAAGAGGAATGGTCCCACAGGAAGTAGTTTTCATTAGATGTGTGTTTCATAGTCCTAATGGGAAGGGGCTTTGAGAAATCATACAATAAGCTGGTAAGGAAGTCCACAGTTGAACCTATGTTATAAATAGTAATAAAACTTTATTCATTTATGGTGTTGCATTTAACTTTTTTATGTTCTAGAATAAGTGAATAATTGCTTGTTATTTAAAAGTCCAAAAGTCATATCTTGCTTCTGTATAGTTGAGGAAAGCTGATGTAGAGAAAGCAAGATTTAGGAGATTGTGCATCTAGTAATTTATCATGAACAAGTATTCAGACCAGATATTGGGAAGCTGTATATTTTATAACATAGTATTCCTTGTTCCATTTTATAGATATTATCATGTACTAGTTACCTACAACATTTATTTTAGACTCCTAAAGGGTCAATACAAACTTAGAGCACAGGAACCTTTCTTCTACAAAGCCATTGTGGAAGAGGTATCCATGACATAATCCACTGGTTTTGTCTGCAGTATGAAAAATACTGTCTTTGAGCACTGGGTGGTGTAGGTATTCTCATACACAGGTCCCCAAGACAAGATTTCTCTTTGACCTCTGCCTTGCCCCTGCCTCCCCCACCCCAATATGTGCTTCCTTTGGCATTTAGTGACCCCTACAGGTGCTTCACACCTTGCTTCTCCTGCTGAGGCCTCACCAGAATGGCTTCCTTTAGGGTTGGATCTGAGAGTCTCTGAATGAAGGCTGGCCTCCAAAAGCCCTTCTTCACCCCTGTTTGGTGCTAGCAACTGCTCCTACAGTGCCCCCCAGTTCATGGTTATGTCTGTGTGAGCATTTTAACTGAGTGGAATACAGAGGTGGTGGGGTCAGATGCAATAGGGGACTCACTTGACAAGGGAACCCTATCTCCTATGATGTCCCTACTCGTTTAAGGGTATGAGCTGTGAAAAGCTTCAAAACACTGGTTCAGCCAAAGAGTGGGTGGAAGGGAAGGATTTTCAAGAGAGGAAGGAACTGGTGTCTTATGTTGGCCCTGCCTGCACCTTATTTGGGACCAGTTTGTTTGATCAGCCTTGATACAAATTAGACATTTTACTCATTATAAAGTGAAATGGGAGCATTATTCCTAGAGTACCCCTGTTGCCCAAGGGCTCTCCATTCCGATCACATTAAAATAAGGATTCTTTATGGATCAGTAATAACTTCAGTTCCTGAAGCTTCAACATGTGCATGTACTACTACCAGAATGCTTGAATTAGATTAGTAATGTAAATGTCAGTTATTGTTAACTGAGATTAATATGTTTTAAGCCATTGGTATGGCATTAATGTAACTATGATTTATTGTTTAAGTACTTTAGGCTAAAACAGCTTACTAAAGAACAGTAATTTGGAGCTTTACAGCCCTGGTTTTGAGAAGTAAAGTTGGTAGTGCATTCTTGTGTAGGAGCCCTCAGGATGTTTCTGATTTTCAGCAGAACATTCTATTTCCTTCACCAAAAGGAGAGTTTGAATATATAATCTCAGGCTTGCTATAATTAGTTCTGATGACAGAGTTAAATACCTCAGCCAAGACTGTAAATCAGTAGTTAAACAGGTTTCTGCAACTGATCATAAATCTCAGACTCCATATTTTAAACACTTATTTTTGGGGGCAGACAGATTAAGGAGGGGCAGACCAAAGACAGGAATAAAATGTTATCTCAAGTTAACAACTTAGAACGTCACAGTTGAAATCTACTGATTTCCTTTATGCCTTTTGTCTAAAGTGTTCTTTTTTAAATATTTTAATAACTCAGCTTATTAACAACTTAGAGAAGTTTGAATTTAACTCAAAATATGAAGATGTAATTTACAGAATGTCTAAATTCTCATTTGTTAAAGATTATTACTTTTTTAGCAATGTGTTTTACCAAAAAATATTGTATGAATCTGATATTTAAATAAAATGCCCATTATACATCGTTTTTTTTTTTTTTTTTTAAGAGAGAATAAAGTTTGGGGAAACAGGCCGATGTTATGTTTAGTACCATTTTGGAAAATTAACTCAGTGAAACCTAGTCATCTAACTCAGAACCAACTGGGACGATTGAAGTTTTTCAGTGTTGGCAGAAGTCACTTTTATTTTTAGTATCTGGCAGGGTTGCAAGTGCTTTGCATGTCAATTTAATATTTTGTCAAGCCAACTGTTTATTCATTGGCTTAAAATTTACACTCTACTAAAGTCTTAGCTCTGACTTTCATGAAACAAATAGTAATATTTGGACAAAATGTGTACATGAAAATCTTTTTCCAAAACCGAGCATAGGTTGGTATCTGTGGCATCGGTGCCTTCTAACCTGGTAACAGATCTTGAAAGTACTTTTAAAGGTTGAAGGTAAAACTCATAGCAGCACAGTTCAAGTAGTTTTATTGTGAAACAATCAGAACGTGTTTCCAAGTTTTCAAACTTAAGTGAGAGACTTATGCTGTAAAGCAGAATACAATAGAATAAGTTTCAGTGAACTATCAAGATACATTTTATGAAGATATGTGGTTCTTCGCCGTTGTAGCACACTTAGTGAGACCAATTTTATATTTCTGAGGTTGAGGTTCTCTGTAGATTTTTAATCAAGTGAGCAGAACTGCATTTTTTTTTTTACTTTATTATTTTATTTTTCTCTCCACACTATTCCCTCACACACACACACACACGTTAGCATGGTGGCAATCATCAGCACCCACTTAGGGGAAGGGGTTCTTTGGTCAGGAGCAGAGCAGCGTGTGGCAGCTCAGGGTGGCTGTAAGGGAACTTAGAAAGGAGTCACAGTTTTGCTATGGTGTGGGAGTGGAGTGGAGTGTTTCCTTAGTGGCACTTCCTCCTGCTCTTTGGTGGGTGTTCATTTTGCCCGGGTGTCTTCAAGTACAGCTGTGCCTTCTGAAAAGCTTCCTGTTATGCTGGCTCTGGTGATTTTGATCCCTGGAACACAGTGACAGGCTCTGGTGGAACAGTTTATGAAATGCCATGCAGTATACTGTGTTTCTAGAGCTGCTTGTAAAATCAAGAATTATCTGAGGCATAATTATATTTTTATTGGTATTAGTAATCCCTTTCTAAATTCAAGTAGAAAAACATGAAAAATATCCCAAATGAGATGGCATTTTTAAGAAATTGATTTTTAGTTTTATGCCCAGGTCTGTTTTTTAAGGAAACAGAAATGCCCAGGAACAAAAAAGAGGGAGGGCAGTGCCTGAGAGAAACTTGGCTCCTATTGGTCCTATGCCAGCTTGCCTTCTGTGCCCATTCCTGAGCACCACCCTAGCAGCTGCAGCCAGTGCCACCTCATGGGCCCGTGGGCTGCTGCTTGCTGAATTGCTGCAGGGGGCCTGCTTGGTGACAGGTATGGAATGAGGTAATCTTTTCCCACCTCTCATTTCTGAAGGGTGTGTCCATCCAGTCATTACTTGTTCATTGAACCGAGAGCTTTAGAAACCAACAGCTACAGTACAAGCTGTAATTATTGATGTCTGTTTCATATTCATCTGTAAGTTCTGGCATTTGGTCAAGAAGTTAATATATCACTTCATCTTCAGGCTGAATGTGTCTCAGCTATCAAAGTTTTATTGTTTGATGGATAGCATACAATTATGACTGCCCAGGAAAAAAGGTGTTTTCATTTGTAAAGTGGGTGATACCAGGAGAAGTAATTATGAATGTCACAAGAAATAATGAAACAAACAATGAAGCTTTGAGTTTCTTTGAATTCCTCCCCACATGATATCTGAGGAGCGTTTACTGAACAGCTTTAACCATGTGGCATTTACTGAGCTAACTCTGGCACACCCAAAGATAAATAAGCACAGTCTAATGGAAAATATATATAAACCAAGTTTTGGACAACTGGATTTTTAGATGGGTTATTAAGAAAATCAGTGAGATTTTCCTTTGCTGAATACAAAGAAATAATTCACATGCAGTAAATTAACAGTTTTAGTCACCTACATGTGTGCGTGCAGGACGTTGAATTGCCTAGCTGAGCAGTTGCCTACAGTTGTTCTCAAGCTTGGGACTGATCCATGGTGCTTGTGTTAGAGTGGGTGGATGACACCCTGACTTTTGCCTCACTTCCTGTGCTCACTCTAGAGGTGAGGATTGCTGGTGGAGTGTGACTCAGGAATGAACATTAACATTGGGTTCTGTTCACCACCTAGTAACTTAAGCTGGAGCTTTTGTTAGACTGTGTCAATATGTCCTCAGGTAGGCGGTGTCAGTGCCTGCCCACGTTAGGGTAATGCTAGCTTCTGCCAAACGTGTGTCCCCAAAATATAATGACTCAAGCACAGAAGTTTGTTGCTTGCGTATGAGACAAGGGACAAGGGATGATCCTACCAACTGGAGCCTTTGCCCTGGACACTCATTCATACCCGGGCTGTTGGTGCTGTGCCACCTTTTCCTAGTTGTGCCAGGTGTCCCTGCCCCAGTACACTGGCAGGGAAAGAGTACTCCTGGAAGTTACAGGCCTGGCCTAGAAGTGGAACTCAGTACTCCTTACTGCCCTGGCTAGAACTTCATCACTTTACACCTAACTGCAGGGGAGGCTGGGAAATGTAGACTGGCTGCTTCCAGAAAGAAGAGGAAGTAAGCTTTCATAAACAGCAGACCTGCCACATTGCCTTAATCACACATGACCTTGAAGTAGTAGTACCTGTAAGTTTTTCTGATTTTAACTAGCAGAAACTGCTTCTTGTAACTTGGTGTAGTCAGACTTACTCGAATGTGTTGACAAAGCTGAGTCAAAATCTTCCAGAAGGGAAGATTGTGCAGAAGACAGGTTGAGGAGGAAAGTTTTAAAAGGTAGCACTTCAACAGCAACATCTGAGATGTCAAGCAAGAGAATGGCAGAGAGGTGACTGTGAGCACCCAGCGGTGCTGGGGATCATGACCAAACCAACATGTAAGCCAGGATCACAGTAGAGGGTGCCTTAGGTGGGTTTCCTAGAAGCAGTACCTCAGATCTCTTGTGAAAGTAATTTATAAAGGAATGCACTTCAGGAAAAACCTGCAAGGGAAAGGAATAGCAGAACAGGATAAAGCCAGTGCATGGGGTGGGGGCGCTCCTGTTTGCATGGAGGGAACGATCCTTACACCTGGAATCAGTCTATCAGTGCCTAGAGCAAGGGGTCCTCTACCTAGAGACTTTCTCCAGTGGAGGGTAGTTATCCAGAAAAGGGACAGCTGAGAACAGTTGGCAGCCATGAGCTGGGCACCTACTACAGAAGAGGGCAGTGCAGTGTGCGCCAGGACAAGCCATTCTCTTCGCTGTTCTTCTGCTGAGATCTGTTTAAACAAGGCAGCATGGGGTGGGGAATTGAAGTCAAAGGGATTAAATAGTGCACACTCTAGCTGGTGGTTATGATTCAGTGGAATCATACGTTGGATGAAGCGTGCTGGAGCTGAAGTCATAAATATTGTGACTACTGACTTCCAGGATAAATGAAACTATTCAAGGATCATTTACAGTCCCCTACTCCTCTAGGTTTTTCTTGACCTTTAGGTTGGAAATCACATCCTCAAAACCCTCATAGATTTCTGAGCCCAACCCAGCCAGATCTGCTGAGCCTCCAAGCATGCCATCTTGATCTGTTCTTCTTTGCTTTCTACCTCTCGAGTGATTCCTATTCAGCTACCCAGTACAGGATCGCAGGCCAGCTTTTTACATGGGATGAAAGAATGGATGGATGGACATTTATTTATTTATTTTTTAATTCGGTGCTATGGATCAAATCCAGTGCCTCAGTAGTAGGCAGGCATTCTACCACTGAGCCACAATCCCAGCCCCTCAACTGAAAAATTTTTAAACACTGAGAATTTATTGTTATTTATGCTCCTGCCTTAAAGAGACACCTTACTTATACAAACATCGTGTAAATGTCTAGTAATCAAAAATTGAAGACTCTTTTTTTTTTACTATTTGCATACAGTGCTTGTGCACCACCTCTCTAAGGAAGCCCAACAAGCATTATATTTTGTTCTGTAAAATGAGGACAGTGAGGTGCTAGGAGATTTAAGAGCTATACATCTAGCATTAAAGCTCCAGCATTAGAACCAAGGCTAGGCCTTTGCGCTTTCCCCCTATTCTGCTATGAAGTGTCCCCTGAAAGTTCCTGTATTGGGAACTTAATCCCCAAAGTCTTATGTTAATGGTATTTGAAGGTGGGACCTTTGAGAGGTATTTGGATTCATGAGGGTGAATCCTCATGATGGCATTAGTGGCTTAATAGGAAGAGGGACCCACACTGGCTAACACTTGTTGTGTTTCATCATGTGACACCTTCCATGTTAGGCTGTAGTAAGAAAGCCCTCACCAAATGCCAAGCAATCACTGGTGCCATGTTCTGGGACTTCTCAGCTCGAGAACTGTGTGCCAAATAAACTTCTGTGCTTTGTTAATAACCTGGTCTCTGATAGTTTGTTATAGTAACATGAAATTGAGTAAGACAAGTGATTCTCAAAGTGTGATTAATGCCCACCTGCAAGCAGAATCATTTACTAAAATATAAACTTCGTGGTCCCACTTGGGGAACTGGGCCTGGGAGTCTGTATTTTAATACACTCCTCTGTGATTAGTGCATCCTAACAATGACATGTTGTTGTAGAGTAACACCTCCTTCCTACATGGAGAAGGAAAGAAAGGCAAGCCAACGAGACTCATACATCTTTCCACGAACCATAGGGAGGTGGAATACCATATAGTATGAATACTGAGTAACTGCATTAATATAATGCTCACAGCCCCAAACAGTCTGGCTCTACTTGGTAAACCACTTTTCATTTTCAAAAAAGAGCAGAAAAGAAAGGGTCTGTGTCAAAGAACTCAATTGGAATCCTTGCTTGATACTTGCTTTCTTGCCAGCAGTGTTCAAAAAGAAAAATCCGAAGTCCACGCACTTGAAAGTTCCATTCCCAACGGTGGAGGGCTTAATTA